ATTCAAAGAGCATATATGTGGCAAGGAGTTAATATTCAAAATACATAAAAAACTCAACAACAGTAACAAAATAAACTAATCAGAAGGTTCAAATAGAAGTTTCTACAATGAAGAGATACAGATGACCAACATGTACATGAAAAGTTAAAAACAAAGCAGGGCCTCCCTGGTGGCGCAGCGGTTGAGCGCTGGGTTGCGAAGCTGCCAGCAGCCTCTGCAGCAGCGCCAGTTCGATCCACGGCTGCTCCTCGGCCACCGAAGGAGGGTCCCACATGGCGCGCAGACCTCTCCTGCCGCAGACCTCTCCTGCCGCAGACCTCTCCTGCCGACAGACCTCTCCTGCTGCCCGCTGCTCCCCTCAGCAGTGTACTTCAGTCCTTCTGCCTGCTCTGCTCCCTGCTCTGGCTCTGGTGAATTCTCTCACCCTCCCGCGCTACTGTACCCAGTGCATGTATAAAACAAATAAACAAATAAATAAAATATATGCCTCTTAAAAAATTTTTAAAAAAATAATAAAAATAAAAAAATAAAAACAAAGCAAAAAAACACATATTCTTAAACTCTAAGAATAAAATGGTGGTTACCAATATGGATTAAAGAACGGGGCTTGGCAAAAATAGATGACTGGATCAAGAAGATGTGGTACATATACACCATGGAATATTACTCAGCATTCAAAAAAGATAAACACATGCAATTTGCAGCAACATGGATGGCGCTGGAAGGGATCATGCTCAGCGAAATATGCCAGAAAGAAAAAGAAAAATACTGGATGGTCTCACTCATAGCAGGAATCTAGAAAACTTAAAAAAGGGACCAGGAAAATGAATAACTATAAGAAAGTGAAAATCAAAATCAACAAAAAACTATGAACCAGAGACACTTTATGGGGGGTGGGGGGCGGGGAGGGGAGGGATTGGGGTCAAAATAAGGGGATTATAATTGTATGGGGAATATAAAAATAAAATTTATTTAAAAAAATAATAACAAACTATAGAAGCAGAAAAAAAAAGAAAGAACAGGGCTTGGTAAATTGGGCAAAAAAATTGGGGTTAGTAAATTGGTTAATTTTATGGTGGAAAATAGAAAATATTCTTTTGGAGACAATCATTACGTAGTATGAATAGATGTAAAACTATAATACTATATACTTGAAACCTATAAAATATGATAAATTATATTTACTGCAATAAAAATTTTAATTAAGTGGCATCATATCAGCATCACGACAGAGTAATATGCCACCAACTTTTCTCTCCTTTAAGCTACAACTAATAGGACATTTGCAACTCAAGTAGGGATCCTGTGCTCATCACTCCAGAATACAAGGGCGACCTACATATCTGTGACCTGAAATCTGTCCTCCCAGTGAAAACAGTGGCACATCACAATAGCCTGCTGCTCTGAGGAAGAGACCATGCAAGAGGACAAGACCTGAGCCAGGTTCACAGGAAGTAGAGAACATAGTGACTCTGCATTTAGCTTTGACTTTCCCCACCTGCCCAGGACTCCCACCTTCTATCCTAACATAGAAAAGATAATCGTAAAACTAAAGCCACATAACCACCTATTGGATATAAGAAGAAATGTACCTTGAAGAAGAGAAGTTAACCATCAAATAATATGAAAAATTACAGCATTATTACATACTAAAAGAAAATCATGATATCCAGAAATCATATCTATCTATCTATTTATTTATTTATTTATTTTTTTTTTTTTTACATCATGGTGCATTTTTAAACAACATTGGCTTTTTTTTTTTTTAATCCCCCCTCAGGTGTAGTCCCCATAGAATTTCCTTCACCAATGCACCCGTGCACAGTCACCACAGTCTCCTCTGTTCCTCCCTCCCTTCTGCCCTCCAATCCCTCTCCCTCCTCCTCCCCTGCAGGATGTCTCTGGTTTATAATTGTCTTGTTTTGTTTTGTTTTGTTTTGTCAGAAATCATATCTAAAGACACAGAATTTTGTGACTAATGAATAGAGAATTCAGAATAACTGCCATGAAGACACTTAATGAACTACAGGAAAAAGAAAGGCAAATTGTGACTCAGGAAGGAAATTAAGGAGTAGAAAAACAGTACTTCATCCAAGAGATTAGGTGAAAAGGAAAAACAGAGAATCTGGATATGAGATTTCAATAAATGAAATTAAAACTGCTATAAGGAACACAGAAGTAGGGTAGATCATATGAAAGAAAGAATTAGTAAAGCAGAAGATAGACATCTAGAAATGACTCAAGTGAAGAGATGAGAGAAATAAGATTTAGGGAAAAAAAGATGAAGAAACTATGAGAACTACCAGTTTCCATTAGGAAATGTAAGGATTATGTATATTTCAGAAGATGAAGAGAGAAAAAGGGGAACAGAAAACTTCTATCAAGAATTAATAGAGGCCTCCCTGCTTGTGCAAGGGGTTAAGATGCAACCTACAAAGCTATTGCCAGCCACTGCATCACGATTCGATCCCTGACCAAGGAGTAACCCATATGGCGTGGCAGACCTCTCCTGAATCGCCCGCTGCTCCCCTCAGCAGTGTATTTCAGTCAATCTGCCTGTTCTGTTCCCCACTCTGTCTCTGGTGAATCCTCTCACCCCCACACCTCTGGCCTGTACCCTAGTTCTTCTACTCAAAAATAAATAAATCTTTAAAAAAAAATTAATAGCTGCAAACATCCCAACCTTGGGGAAGGAACTTACTATAAAATCCATGAAGCCAATAGAAGATCTAATAATCTAAATGCAAAAAAACCTACATGAAGATAAAAAACAGTAAAATTGTCGAAGTAAAAACATACAGATATATAGATACACAGAAAGCATTAACTTTCAAAAACTGGAGATGAAGGTCTTTAGTATGCCAAATGAAGGACTGAAATAATGTTGCTATATATTATTTGATGTGAATTGTTTGATTTAATTAGATGTCTGCAAAGAAAATTTACAAGACTATATGCATAAAATATTTAAAAATCCAATATTGAACTTCTGTAGTACATCAGAATAGTCAGTAAAATCTTTATCTTGATGCTTTATAATTCTGGTGGGAGGTACACAAATTTCATGGATTTTAAAACATATTTTCAAGTACATGAAAATATTATAAGATACAATTTGAAATCCTTTACAGATACTGAAAGTAGATTAGCAATAATATGAGGTAAAATGTATCAATATTTAAGTAGGTCTTCATTACTTGGTCCTTCCACACAGAGAAATACCTATTTAAGTTGTTTCTTACAGATATAACGGTTTTTGTTATTGCAGGAATAATCCAAAATAGTGTTGCCTGGGCTGTATGTTATGCAATTCTCTTCTTTTGGTTTTTCAAGGAATGGAAATCTGTAATTAAAAAATAAAAATATTAGCATTATGAGGAAAGAAAATAATGTTGAGAGGTGGCACTTTTTATTAATGATAGAAATTTTCAGTGCATTTGAATGAGATATTAATACACTGAACCACAGTATTTTTATTCGGTATCCAGTTTTCACAATTTCAGAGTAGAATATAAAAAAATTCAGTTAATGCCTCAGAAATCAATAGTATTTGATTTGCCTTTATTATGAACAGTTTTGATATATGATATACTTTGCATCTGCAGTGTTTAAAGATATATTGACCTATCTGAGTCTAGGAAAACAAATCAGAGGGAAAACATGTCTTTGTATGATAATATAAATTCCATGTTTATGAATGAAAAAGACAGAAATTCAAAATATACATAAAATAAGTCCATAATATTTGGAACAAGGGAGAATACTGAGGATACTGGGCTCCAGGAGAATAAAGAAAATCATAGATAGTTTCTCTGGACAACTGTGAATGTGCCTCTGTATCTATACACCCAGGGTTTGTTTTAAGGCAGAAGAATACAAAGCGATACGTCAAAATCTCTTTCATGGTCACAAGGACACAAACCTCATATCACTGAAGGATAAACTTGAGTGTTCTAGATATGGCTAAAATTATTATTTCTGTTGAACCTTATCTCTCTCTGTATTTGCATGTCCTACACAAGTTGACTAAGTTAAACTATTCCTAGATGTTACATTTCTGGTGAGATGGAAGACTAAACCCATAGAGAACAGAAAAGGCTTGCCTGCCAGTAACTTACACATGTTGGGGGAAAGTAGAGCCATTTAGCCACTCCCAGTCCTGGTGTTTTTTACTGTAGCGGACTCCAATCCAATAAAAATTTTTAGTGCCCTTCAGAAAATACTGCTTGGAGAGATAAACATATTAACCTGATTTGTATCTAATCTGGAAATGTGACTTTTAACAATGTCAGTCTCACAACATCAAATTCAGTCTTTTAATCAACTGAAAGCATGTTTTAATATGTATTTTACAAGGTATATATTGTCACAGCCCTCCTGTTTTTTACAGGAGTGCATTTGTGTTTGCATGAGAACATATCACAAAATTTCACTTTTTGAAGGAATGAAAAATATTCTAAAGGGAGTTGGAACTGTTGTGGAACACTCCCTTTGAAGGGATCAAGCAAATTTGACCCCAAATCGCCAACAGCTCGAGAGATGAATTTTGTGGAATACAATACTCAGTACAGGTTCTGCGCGCAAAGAGATTTTCTACTTTATCTTAATAAGTAGATAGTGTTTGTGATAGTACTCTTCATATTTCACATTTTATCCCAGGATGATAACAAAAATATATAATTATAAAAGACATTACAAATTCAATTAAAGAAGCAAATATTACAAAGTTGTTTTATTAGTTCTTTGAATAAAAATGAGCTATTATTTCTTATTTTAATTCTCTCTAAAAACTTCATCTGCATCGAAGTTGAGTTTATCCCATATGATATAATCATTAGAATTTATGTGTTGGCTTTATAATGTCTATTTCAAAGTGTAGAAAATGAGCAATTATTCATTGAAATATGATTATCCATTTCCTATTAGATTAAATTCTTGAATTGAAGTACCCAGTTACTTATTATATTTTTTTAGGTGAAGGTAAATGTGGGAAATCAGAATTAAATACATGCCAATTCATCTCTGTTGTCCATCTGAAGTAGAGTGGAATTGTTAGAAGCACAGAAATTCCTACTTTCTTCCCAAGTTTCTAAGTCACTGGAAACAAAGTAACAGTTGCACATGGATCCAATCCACCTTTCTTGACAAAAATAGCAGTCAGTTCCTAAAGAAAAAATAAAGCATAAATGATGACATTGGAGATTTTGTTTTTTCAGTGCTGCTCATTCAAAGCCATAAATTTATTTACTCATTTTTTCCTACAAATATTCTTTGAAAACTACTATATATGCTACCATTCAAGGAATATTACTGTGAATGACTCAGTCGTAACTTTTTCTTCATGGAGATTATTTTCCAGCAGTAGAGTGAGAATTATATAATTTCCAATCATTCACTAATGAAATTATTGATGATAAGGGTAACTAAACAAAAGTAATTCAGTATATTAAAAAGTCTTATAGTAGAGTGTAGGATGCAGGGTGGGATTTTTAGAACAACTCTGAGGAAATGACTGAAATTGAGCTTTGCTGTACTAAAAGAAGCTAGATGAAAGAGAGAGGTGAGAAAAAACTGGAAGAATTTTGATGTGTGTTTAACATAATGAAGATAAAATTTTAAAATTAAGTCCCATTATACAGTTTATCAATGATCGTACCTTGAACATTTACTATTCTCAGTAATAATAGTCATCACCCACAGTAAGCTTTCAAATCTTTGACCAATAAATAGTACTGAGGTTGTGAATAGTCTGGTGGTTACCAGGATTTTTGGAGAGAGGGAGAAGCATGAGAGGAGGGTAGTCAGAGGGTATAAGCTTCAAGTTAGAAGATGAATAAGTTTTAGGAAATTACTACACAGCATTGTGATGATAGTTTACAGTATTATGTTATATATGTGTAAGTTGGTTTAAAGAGTACATCTTAAATGTTCTTATCACAAAAAGAACTGGCAGGGCAGGGCCTCCCTGGTGGTACAAGGGGTTAAGGTGCAGCACTATGAAGTGATCACCAGCCACTGCAGCATGAGTTCAATTCCCTGCCAAAGAGGTGACCCACGTGGCGCAGACCTCTCCTGTCTCGCCTGCTGCTCCCCTCAGCAGTGTATTTCAGTCAGTCTGCCTGTTCTGCACCCCACTCTGTCTCTGGTGAATCCTCTCACCCCCTACACCTCTGGCCTGTACCCCAGTTCTTGTATGCATAAATAAATAAATCTTTAAAAACAAACAAACAAAAAAGAAATGGCAGTTATGTGATTTGATGAAAGTGTTAGCTAAAGCTATGGAGGAGATAATATTGCATCATCTAAGTATATCAGATCAATAAGTGCTTGCACAATGGTATATCTCAATTATATGTCAATAAAACTGGAGAAAATATCACAGGAAAGAAGAAAGCTCTGTGGAGTATTGTGAAGTGATATATGATCACAGAAGATGGAGAGATCACATAGAAAGGATTTGGAACAAGTACATTAAAATACTGGGCAGGAGCTGCTTTTCATGAGATAAGTAGGATTAGAACTATAGAATTCTTTGCACTTATTTCCTAATCCAGGAAGAAACAGAAGCAAAGGCAAAGAGATAACAAAGTATGGGAGGTTAGGATTAACTACATTATTTATTTTAGTTTATTTTTTTTTATCTGTTACACTCATAAGGAAAGGATATGCCATCTCAGGTTAATATTTTCTTACTATTTAAATATATAAGTGGGGCCTCCCTGGTGGCACAAAGGGTTAAGCACCGCACTATGAAGCAATCCACAGCCTCTGCAGCACAAGTTCAATCCCCGGCAGGCCAGGGAGAAACCACATGGCGCAGCAGACCTCTCTTGACTCACCCACTGCTCCCCTCAGCAGTGCACTTCATTTTGATCAATCTGCCTGTTCTGTTCCCCACTCTGTCTCTGGTGGATCATCTCACCCCCCACATCTCTGGCCTGTGCCCCAGCTCTTGTATACATAAATAAAGAAATCTTAAAATAAATAAATAAGTAAATAAAAGTGATTGGGCCTCCCTGGTGCCACAAGGGGTGAAGCACCACACTATGAAGCAGTCTGCAGCCTCTGCAGCATGAGTTCGAGCCCCGCCGGCCAGGGTGAAACCCACATGGTGAGGCAGACCTCTTCTCCTGTCTCGCCCGCTGCTCCCCGCAGCAGTGTATTTCAATCAGTCTGCCTGTTCTGTTTACCGCTCTGTCTCTAGTGAATCCTCTCACCCCCCGCATCTCTGGCCTGTGCCCCAGCTTTTGTGTGCATAAATAAATAAATCTTTAAAAAAAAAAAAGTTAAAATAAATAAATAAATATATAAGTGATGTTCATTCAATGTAACATAATAATTCTTCTTACATTAGCAAACAATGAAATGAGGCTGCCCTAAAATTAGTAGGTAAATTTGTATTAGTAAGTGTAATAATACATCATGATTCTGTTGAGAAAAGCAAGAAGTTGCCTATTTCAACCTCTACCAGAGTTTGGAACCTACCTTCTTGGAATTGTGTGGATGGTTCCGCAGGGCTTGTCGATTTAATCGTTTCTTGATGAAATGCTAAAAGGTTTGATAAGAAATTTACTTAATTAGATACAGGTTTATGAAAAACAAAATATTACAGATTAGCAAAATTCAGTCTTTAATATTAAATGATCTTATCAGAGTTTTGGTCTTCATAAGACTTGTCTATAAAGACTTACTATTGTTCGGGGCCTCCCTGGTGGCGCAGTGGTTGAGCGCTGGGTTGCGAAGCTGCCTGCAGCCTCTGCAGCGCTGGTTCGATCCCAGGCCACCAGCGAGGGTCCCAGATGGCGTGCAGACCTCTCCTGCTGCCCGCTGCTCCCCTCAGCAGTGTACTTCGTCAGTCTGCCTGTTCTGCCCCCTGCTCTGGCTCTAGTGAATTCTCTCACCCTCCCCCGTGCTTCTGACCATACCCGGTGCTTGTATAAATAAATAAATAAATCTTAATTAAAAAAAAAAAACTTACTATTGTTCAACAAAATTCCCAAAATTATTATCAGTGAAAGGCATGTGACTCCTAAGATCCCAGAAATCCACCTCCATAATGTATTCCAAAATTCTGTTGAGAAAGAGAAGTGGGATAATAACTAAGAAAGCCAGAAGCAGACATTCTTCAAAGCAGAAACCAACATGAGAAATTCTAAAAGTTCTTTGGTTTGCTAACCCAAACTTCCTGCTAATGAAATACTGGACTATAAAGCCATACCTACTCAGAACCCCACCAAACTACCAAAAATTTTATATAGTGTATTTTGTATTCTGTTTAATTATCCATACCTTTCTTGCTTAACAACCTTATCTCAATAATTTGAATTTACCATATATTTTTTTTTATTTTGGCAAAGAAGTTTGGTGATCTGGAGTAAAAAGAGATCAACAGACACAAAGATCTGTCTTATGGACTTAGTTAACAGACATTCACTTTAATCTCTCAATAAAAATCACAAGGTAGCATGATTCTTATTAAGTAAATGAGAAAACTTAACAACCATTAATAGTGTTGTTTTTCAAGCATATTGAAGTCAGTAAGAACCCAACTTTGAAATAAAATGAGTTTGTCTAGTCCCAGGTTCTTGCATATAATATATCCTACCACTGTGACAATAACACTCCTGGTTATGTGCCCTTCGCATCCCTGCTCAGAGAAATAGCAGGTGCTCATAACTTTGTAAAGGTCGCATGGGAAAGAAAAGACACACACCCTGGACCTGGTGTAGTGGTAACACCATGGGGATCTGCATTTATTTTGCATACTTTGTATAATGATACTTAGGTAAACTTTTTTTACATGATATTACATTTTCTCATGCTCAAAACAGCATGCTTATAGCCATTTCCCCTAAAACAATAGAACATTAGAAGATTCTCTGTTAACATTAGCACATTCCCAGAGAGTTCATCATTAACAAAAGTCCAATATGTCTATTAATCTCGGTGATTTGGAGATGTCACAACATAAATAATGCATTTGGGAGGGGAGAAAACATTTTTAAGCATATGTCATTAATATTTGGCATTCTCTTTATACTTCTATGTTCAAACTTTGTAGTTCATAATTTAAACTGGTAAATTAGTTCCACTTATTATTTAGAATTATTTCTATTGGAAAACACCCTCTAAATCTATTGAAAAAGCACCACAAAATATTTTCCAAGTTACACAGTGAAAAATTGGAACAAAATTAAGTAAAAAATGCTGCTACATGGGAAACCAAAAATGTCCACTTTTTTCTTCAAGCACTGCCTCAGAGTATCCATTCTCATAACTTCTGATTATTTTTATTTTTTCAATTTAATAGCGATGCTGCACCTACCTGCCATGAGAAATGAGAAATGTGCTCCAAGATCAATGCAGGTCGGAGGTTTGATTATTCATGAAGGGAGCTGGATCACAAAGTTGAGCCAGAAGCTAAGAAATTCAAAAGTTGTGTAGGCAGAAATTTAAAAGAAGAGTTGTGCATTCAAACAATGATCTTGAATCACCTATAGATGAGACACAGATGCATAGTATGAACAAGAAGCAGCAAAATCACTAGCTTTTAAAATGTTCCGGAACCACAGCACAGGAAATTCTCACAATAATTGCGTAATGGCAACCCTTTGACTATCAAAAAAATCAAGTGAGAAAAAGAGTTTTTTTACTTGTTTGAGCATTAAAATCATCTTCAAAATTATTTGGAAACTAGGAAAAAGTGAGTAAACCAAAGGTCAATTTACTCGGTAAAATAAAATTCCACTTTTAATAATAAGAAACATTCGTCATTTATCTTATGCTAAGCACAGATTATTTAGTGTACATTAATTCATTTATTTTTGAAAATGGCTTAATAATGAAGATAAACAAATACACTAATTTTATCAGTGAGAGAATTAAGGCATAATGAATTGTCAAGGTGACTTGCATTTGAAATCTAGGCAGTATTTCTCCACAGCACACATGCGATGAATTTTAAATCAGGGCATCTCTCTGTCTATATAGCTTGTGCATTTTAATTTTCTTTACACAGAGTGGTTGGTATTTCCCTGTCTCAGCCTGTGTGTCTGTTCCCTGTGTCCTCTCCTTAACTCAGCTCACAAATGCAAGGATCAAAAGGAAGAGCCAGAATATCCTCCCATTACTGTTTATAGTTCTCTCTCTCTCTCTCTCTCTCTCTCTCTCTCTCTCTCTCTCTCTCTCTCACACACACACACACACACACACACACACACATCCCTATGCTCTGCAACTGCCTCAGCTGGCCTGAGCCCACACTTAGTGCTTCACTCACATTAACCTTCAAACCTTCCTCCATCACCTGACTCTCCAGTGTTCCCTTCCCTTCATGGATTTGAACTTGACCACAATATTTTCTTATCCCTATTTTCCCTGACATTTTATTTATTATAGTTGTGTACTGTTTTATCTCATTCAGATAATATACTGATAACTTAATTTACACATTTTTGCCCGCAGAAGAGTGACTTTATTCATGAACATTTGAAAGGCAGGATGGATAGGCAGAATAAGCTCTTGAGTTAAAATGTTTTTGGCTGTTTTTTGTAGCATTTCTTTTTAAGCATTATGATATTGTCATAGTGTAACCAGGAAAAGGGGAAGTTCCAGATTCCCTGCCCCACCCAAAGGAGGGTGGAGCTGAGCAGGAAGAAAAAAGAAGTTGGAGAAAAGATTGAGGAAGGAAGGAAGCAGGATGGAGAGCCAGAAGGAGACTTGGAAGAGGCACATGGAGCAGAGAGACATGTGAAGAAACTGTGCTTGGCTTTTGGTCCTGGACTGGTTGAAATAGATGAGGGTGAGAGACCTTGGGGAGGATAACAATGGCAGCTTTTATCTTGTTTTGATTTTTCTCTTTTCCTCCCAGACTTGTCTGGTTGTTTCTGATCCTTTTCTATGGGTCCCTGCCAACAGGTGCTTTAGACTTGTGTCAGGATTTCGGGCCTTGCTCTAGGCCAATACTGCTTGGGTGGACTTTTACCCACAAAGGAACGGGTAACTTTGGGTGCTTGATTTAGAAACTATATTCTTTGTCTTTTCTGTATTGCTTCTAATTGTATTGAAGTTCCTTTTCATTAAAGTCTTATATGCTTTGTGCTGATGTGGCGGATGGCAAAATCTATTTAGAGGAGGCAGATTTGGGGGTTCTAAGGTACCCCTCTCCATTCCCTGTAACAATAGATGAAACATTTTATAAAGAGCAGATTTTCAAACACAAAGAAGAAAAATAAGGATTTGATTTCTCAGTTTATGTAGTCAAAACTTTTCTCTTTTTAATTTGTGCTGTGTCTCTAAAACTGCTTTTACTGAACCACCACAGTCATTAAAAGATAAAAATTCTGACCAGAGAATATAAACAAGAAAAATTTTTATATGGATTTTGTGCAAATTCAAGTTGAAAGAGGTGATTTATAAATGATTCTTTGCCTACTTGAAGTCTGTTCTTCAGTTTTGATGTTGAACAAAGCTGAACTGTCAAAACAGCCAGAGGTGCTCATTTCTTGCCCCATGTAAAATTGCTTTAACTAAATAGGAGTTTAGAATTTTGGTTTCACTTTGCTTTGGGATGGTACAAATTGATGAAAATATATAGTATAAGGATTGTTACTATACTTCTGACACTAACAGTATTCCCCTTACTTGGCGTTAAGAATTTTGGTTTTACCTTTTGTTTTGGATTGGTACAAATTGATGAAGAGATATAGTATAAGGATTGTCATTACACTTCTGACACTAGCAGTATTCCCTGTACTTGGAAGTTATTCTAAGTTTTCAGAATCATATTCAGTGAAACTTAAGTCTTCTGTTTTTCATTCTGATGTACTGACTGGGAAGTAAAAATCCATCAAAGGTGTATTCAATGCATGAATTCCAGTCTCAATCACCAGCAAGATAGAAGGTACAGCTTAACCTCTTCCTTTGTTTCTGAACTGTCAATGGAATTCCAGTCACCAGCACTTATCTCTACTGGGAACAGAAGACTTGCCCCACCCATTCCCCTCAGAATATTTGGTGAACTAAGGTCAACTACATCTGCTGTTTTATCTGCAGAATTTTTTCTCCTATAACTGCTGAAATCCTGCTGCCCTGACATGTCCAGAAGTGCTGAGCAATATCTCTGGGATGGGCCTTAGCCAAGGAAACTCAAGATTTGGTATGATCCATTAACATTGGTCAGTAAAGCAAGTCTGAACTTTGTGCTTTGCCACATTTCCAGAATCACAGTTAACCACACTCCCCCCACCTGTCGTCTACCAGCAAAATGAAGAAAGCACATCACATTGTGCCCTGCTCTTCCTTTCCTATGCCAACACTCCCTTCCAACCTTTATTCCATAAACACCCAAATAAACTTTGCAGCAAGACTGTCCTCAGGCTCTACAGCAGAGAGAACCCAGCCTGAAATATTTCATCGTATGAGTTTATTTTAAAGAACAATACAAAAAAAGTTTATTTTAAAAAAATTAGGTGTCCTGCCAGAAGATGCTTCTCTCTTGGCAAATATCTCAGGCAACCAATACCTTTTCTTCCCCCATAACTGACTAATGACTTGGGTCAAAGTGATGACTACCAGTAACCAAAGATCATTCAAACCCAGAAAAAAGAGTTGAAGAAAAGAGACCAGAAGTTACTCAAGACATATACAGTGAAGTCTTCTCTGTGTAAAAATGTGTAACTAAAATGTTATAGAGCATAGTAATGGCATATATTCCTAAAACCCCAAATGAGAAATTTATTTTGATCTTACTGATTTTAAAATGTTAGCATCAAAATGTTATTTTGATCTTACTGATCAAGGGGTACCCAGAGACCCCAATCAGTTCCTCTGGATCAGGGCATGTCCTGAGATGCATAGAAAGCTCCTAGGGGGTTGCTTTTACAGAGCTGCATTTTCAAGCTTTGTTTCTTACACTTATCATAATATTGAAATTATTAGTAAAACCAGATACTGGGTAAAATCTCTTATGATGCTTGTCAGTCTAGTTAATAATGCAACCCCTTCAGTTATCTTCCTGAGGAACTAGTAAGTTTCGCCTACATAGATAAGGAAAAAATATCATGCTATTATGTGCATAATCAGACACTCCCAGTAATCATCTTCATTCATAGCAGTTACCATCAGCCCCGGCCCTCTATGATGTATATCACCAGGTAGAAGTCTGCATCTCAGCACCTGGGGTCCTCTCTCACACTGGGCCTGCTGAAAGCCTTGCTGCTCTCATACCAACAAGTCTCAGAACTCACATATAAATATCCAACTCTTATTGCTTCTCTAATATGGAGAGAATATTATTGCTTCTCTAATATGGAGGGAAGCATGTCTGAAAGAAAAAAAATGTATAAGAAGGCTGTTCCCCTTTTTCAAGATTCCCAATTCTTCCCTGACGTAAGAAAATGGAGAATAAGCTCAGGGTGAGAGGTGGGAGATAAAAGCCAGAGGCCAGAGCAGAGGGCTATACTAGTCTCTACTGAGAGGAAGGAACCAGGTAGGAGGAGAGGGGCCCCCTTGGTGACATGCACCACACTCACACTCCCTCATCAGTCATGTGGAGCTGAGGAAAACCTGACAGCAGCTCACCCTGCACCTTGTGGGCAGTGCCAGGCGCTTCCTGCTCCCCAGGGATGCTCCCAAGAAGTGATTCTTCTCTTCACCATTTGGAGGTAATTTCCCTTTAAAGCAAGAGCATCCAGGACTCCCCGATGGTGCAGCGGGTTGCTGTGAAGCTGTCCACAGCCTCTGCAGCACGAGTTCAATTCCCACCTCTCCTGTCGTTCCCGCTGCTCCCCTCAGCAGTGCTTTCACCATCTGCCTGTTCTGCTCCCCACTCTGTCTCTAGTGAATCCTCTCACCCTTCCGTGCCACCAGTCTGTACCCCAGCTATTGTATAAATAAAAAATAAATCTTAAAATAAATAATACTATCAGATACCCATGTTTACTATCAGATACCCATGTTTAATACTATCAGATACCCATGTTTGTCATTAAACCCAATAATCCTTGTAATCCAGAAAAGAATTAATAATGATATTAAAATTAATTAACTAATAATGATATTAAATTAATGAATAAACCAAATATAATCAAGTAGAAATGAATATCTCTGGACCTTGGATTGCTGAGATAAAAGATGTCCAAGATTCATCCTGAGTTGGAAAAGCAATAAAACAATTCTCTAAACTTTTACACGGAAAACTGACACAAATAGAAAAACCAGAATGATAATCAGTTGCCCTTTGCGGAAGAACTGGTATTAAGGACAAACAGAAGAATTGTTGATTCATAACACAGCCCTTCTGTATATGTAAATCATATGCATGTTTTGCTCTGGCAAAATAATGACCTTAAATAAAGCAAAAAATTCAGTCTCCAAGAAGCATCATCCATTACTTGTTTCAGACTTCAAATGTTTTGAGAGGTTGTATTTTTCTAATCTGTATCAATCATCATGTAATTTAAATCTGTTTCACCTAATTCTCACCTATTCAAGAATGAAAG